TGCTGTCGCCAAGGCCAGCTAGACGGAGCATCTCCACGCCCCAAGCTCCCTTCTGAGAGCCAAGTCAAGAAGCATCCCCCAGGAGAAACATAGCCTGCTTCTCTTCTTCTGCCAATTCTGCTTAAAGCTGAGTCTTCACAGCAAAGTCCCGGGCCCAGGGCCAGGTCAGGATCCAGCCAAGTGGCCTCATGCATCACCGTCACCGATGTGTGAGCCTGAACCCTTCACCCCAAGGCGGCACCAATGAAGAAGATTGTAGAGTCAGCACTGAAGAGTGGAGGTGGGGGGGAGAGGAGAGGTGGTGCCTGGAGCAGAGGAAGCTTGGGAAAGCCCTGCTGTGACCCTGGTCCTCTGCAAAGAACCAGGCCCTTCTAACAGCCAGATGGCTTGTCATTCAAACCAGCCACAGACTCGCCAGCCCACCTGGTAATGAGTGTCTAGGGCACTAAGCAGCAAAAGCTGCAATTTATACATTAGCCCAGGATAATCACTCTCCAGGCAGAAATGACAGGTTGGAAAGCTGTGAGCGCTTAGCGGGATCTTTGGATCGCTTCAAACATCCCTGGTGAAGTACAGCTTCTGCTTCGGTGCATCTGAGCAGGCAGAAAAGGCCCCGGGAGGGCCCTGGAGCTGGCCAATATCGTGGAGGACAAGGAATGGATAGCCTCTTGACATAGTCTAGACCTCTGGTCCCGCACTTGTCACACAACACAGTCCTAGACACCCAGCCTATCTCACAGAGGAGCTGGCAGAGGGCAGCGCCAACATTTGGGTGCAGAGAAAGGTGTCAAGTAATGGCCCTGCACGTCAGTGATGGACCTCAGGGAAGAGCCCAGATACACCCGTGACGTGAACCAAACCATCACACATGGGCACAGGCAGGCCCACGCCACACCCATCAAAGCCACACAGGAGGGACAGCCCACTGGGGACCAGCATGTAAACAAACCTGGGACTCAGAATTCTGAGATTAACAAGTCCTAACTCCAATTAAACATGGCCTAAAGGGACAGCTCTGAAGCCTCTTCCCAATCAAGAGTACAGGCCCTTGGACATAGGGCAGGCCATCAAAGGCCTGACCTCTAAACCTCCCTCCTGCCACCCACAGGCACCCTCACCCCCACCTGCTGCACCCCCAGCCACCAGTGGTCAGCGGCCATAGGGCTGCAGCTCACGGCTCCTTACTTTCCCATCCAGGTGGCATAGTGGGCAGGAAGCCTGGGCATAAACAGGGTGGACTTCCCACTGTCGATGTCGATGATGCCATAGCAGCCCGGCTCGGTAACACCAAATGCCCAGTGAAAGAAGGACTCCTGCGGTAGGAAAAGGATGCTGGTTACCCAGTGAGCAGGACAGAAACACGAGGCACAAGGAGAGCAGTGGGCAGCCAACCAGGCGTCTTCTTCCAGCACCCTGGAGAGCCAGCTCGGGCCTACTTCCTTTCGGACACTGACTGCAGCCTTCCCACCTCCACACTCAGCTCTCCACACCAGCTGTGGGCAGCCCGTCTGTCCTTTCATGATTTGGCAAGGGGCAGCCTGGCTGGCTTCTCCGACCCAGCTTGGAACTCCCTCTGATGGGAGGCTTTATGGACGTCCCCAGCCAATCCATGCCCCCACTTTACCAGCCATACTCCAGGCCCACAATAGGGTCCCCTGGGACACAGGTGTCCACAGTACAGGGTCCTGCCCAGTGCCCCTCTGCCACCTGCAGGCAGACAAGACACCACTTCGATTTAGACACCGGATGGACATCTGTACCAAAACGGATTCCTCCATTTAGGACTTCCTTCCCTCTCCCACCCCCGGGGCAGTGATGACTTCAGTGTTTAGTAATAAACACTGAGCTAAAATAAAGTGGTAAAGGTATGAAGTGGAGGAGGAATTCTTCTAAAATTAGCCTCGCATCAGTAAGGGAGCCAGCAGCTGAATTTAGGAAGTCGGGTTTTAAACCGCAGACTATCTACACCTCAGGAGGCATCAAGACTAATCCAGAGAAGCTTGTTTAGACCTCCATGTCTCTAGCAGCCAGGGGACCGTGGGCTTGCAGCTGCCCTAACAGGCAAGGGGCATTTTGGGCAGGAGCAGCTTTCAGGAAAGCGTTCTCTGTGATCGCTCTGGGCCATGAATTGCAGCCTGTCTGTCCCCCGCAGGGGTCAGGGGACGGGGGTGGCAACACAGTCCAGCAGGGGAGGCCACGCCTTGCCACCTTCTCTCCACACTCAGCTCGCCTTTGCAGTCTGATTTCCTCCGCCCTGACCTGGAAGCTGGACAGCCATGTCCCCTGGGCTCTGCCTGCACAAGGGGGTTCGGGAGTTCCCAACGTCAGCTCTGGGCAAGGTAGCAGGAGAAGAGAACACTGGGCCTGGAGTCAGAAGATGGGGTTCTGATCCAGCTTCCCTTCTTGGCAAGTCACTGCCCCTCTGAGCCTCAGCTTCCCCATCTGAAAAGGGAGCAAATACTAGGATCGATGGGAGCGGGGACAGCTCAGGGTCTCACCAGCACCCTGGGCAAATGTCCTTGCTCCTATTCCTGGGAATGAGTGCTGTGGTGATTCTCAGCTGAGGCCACCACATCAGGCTGGCCTAGAGCTGGGCCATCTGCCACCCTCAGGGGTCCAGAGCTTCGAGGAGCCCCTGACCACTTTTCAAGTGAGGAAATCGAGGCCCAGTGAGGAACACAAGTGTCAGCACTGGCCAGGTTGGGACGAAGACCCAGGCCTGAATGCTGCTTACATGCCACTCCCTGTCCTCCTCACTATAGACAGAATCTGGCCCCCGGAACTCACGGCACCTCATCCCTCTGCTACTCCCGGTCATACACACCTGCCCCCTCACCCTCCACTTGCCCACTCTGGTGCACACCATCCTCCCACCTATCAGATTCTCCCTGGCCTCAGTGCCCACACCATGCTGCCTCCTCCATGAAGCCTTACCTGTTTGCTCCCCCAGGAACACCATCTTTCTGAACCCTGACCTGAGAGCTGTGCCAGGCTAGTGACAGCTCTGCCTTAAGCCATAGCTGTGAGGGCCCCGCCCCCAGTGTGGGCTCCTTGGTCCTCACTGCCTGCAGTGGGCCTCTCCAGGTCTTCCAGGGGCAAAGCTGGTCTATCACCCACCAGACCTTGAGGATGTCTGGAGGGGTGAGGACTCACCTGGCGGAAAAGGACCCCAGTGTCGGTGCAGTACCGCTGGCTCTCCTCTCCACCCTGAAGCACCACGACAGAGCTGGCCTGCACAGCAGGGTTCTTCCGCAGCCGCTCACACAGGCGCCGCCGGTTTAGGGCGAAGAGTGCTAGTGGCACCTTCAGGGTTTTGTTCCCCAGCCAAAATGAAGGTCTGCAGAGACATGAGGACAGGCCTCTGTTAGCACCTCCAAGCAGGCCCATCACCTGCCGTCTGAGGCCCCTGTGGGGACCGGTAGGGTCCGGTAGGCTACCAGTAGGTAGCTACCTGAGGAGCACAGGGGCATTGCAACCCCTTCCCCACCATGTCCCAGAGCACTTGGACCACACTGCTCCCCACCAGAGGGAACAGGGCAGGACAGCCCTGATTTAGAGACACACACCCAACTCTCACACTCAGGGATCTTGTCATCCCGCCAAGGTCCTCTTCCACCCGGGGAGCCTGCCTTTGGCTTCTGCACCCGCGAGCACACACCCTCGAGCAGGTCTATGGGTCTGTCTGCCCTCCTCCAGCTCCAGGTTGGTAAGCTCCTCCTTCTGCGAGAAACGGATAACCTAACCCAGAAAACACTAGCTCCCCATTCCTGCACCCTGCAACCACCCCTCTCTTCAAGTCCTGGACCCCAGCCTGGGTTGGTTGTCCCTACCCTAACCACACACATGGAGCGCCCTGAGCAGAGCACCCCCCCCATGGAACCTTGGAGAGATGGGGTGACCTGGAGGTGCTAAGGGGCCAATGAGGGAGGGAGCTGCTGAGACCTTCTTGGAGGTCGGGGCCGAGGGGAGCCAGGCCTGGCAGAGAAGGGGGGTGCCTCCCACCAGCCTCCCCTGCATCCCACGCTGGCTTCCCTGTTCATTGAAAGAGCATGGTTCACCTCCCAGCACCCACTTCCCAAACTCTCCATCTGCCTCTGTACCCTTACACGCAGCAGATGTGCAGTTACTCCAGTCGTCTGGAAGAAAAAAGAAAGGCCAGCCCAGGTGGGGCAAGCAAGAGGACACTACTGGGCCGTGGAGGAGGCCACATGGGAGATCTGGGTTCAGTTCCTGGCCAGGCGCAGTGGCACACCTGTGGTCCTAGCTAACTAGGAGGCTGAGACAGGCAGGTAGGATCACGACTCGTAAGACCCTGTCAAAGACATACTTGTACCTCTCCCTCTCCCTCCACACTGCTTGCACCCTGAAATGCTTTCCCAGGCATTCTCTCTCCCTCATCAATTAAAAGAAAAAGAAAAAGAAAGAAAAAGAAAAAGAAAAAGAAAAAGAAAAGAACAGAACACTCCCCTTTGCCCCCACTCCCCACCAGATTATTTCCCTCCCCTCTTTGCAGTGAACACCCTCTCTAAAGCATCACCCAGGCTCCCGTTCTATCCTGACCATCCATGGCCCTGCTCTCCTCAGTCCATCCCAACAGGCATCCATACCCTGCCCCTGCACTCCCCCCCACATCCCAGTTGCCAGTGCCCTCTGCTCCTAAATCTGCAGTGGGGTCCCAGGTCTTCCAGGGCCTCTGGGTGCCTGTGGCCCTGGGGCCACCCTCTGCCAAAAACCTAACACTAAATCCTTCACCCTCAGTCTCCCTCCCTCTGGACACCCCAGGACTGGATCCTGCGATATGGGTCCTCTTCCCTAACTGGGCTCCATCCTTCAGCATGACCGAGTCCAGCAGGGTTTCAAGACTCACAGACCCACTGTCTAGACACCCTCCCAGAAGCCAGTCAGCTCCAACTCAGCAGCCACAGCACAGACCTACACCCTGCCCCCACGGTCCATCAGACTCGTGCCCTCCCAGATCCCTCCCAGCTCCCTCCCGGCCACTCACACACAGAGGCACCTCTGCCCTGACGTGTCTCCTCTCTGAATCCACTTCTGGTCCACCAGCAATGCACACCAGCCTGAACCCTCTCCCCATCCCCAGGGACAGCCCCCCAGTGTGGCCCATCCTTGTCCTCCACCTGGGAACCCTTGGCTGCTCTCTGGGTCCCGCTTCCCTGCAGCCTGATCTGCACCCACTGCCAGAGGAACCCTTCAAAAACAAATCCCAGCAGGCAAGCCCCTGCTCGGCCCCTCTCCGGCTTCCTCTTACATCGAGAACAAAGGTATAGCCTGTAAGGAGGAATCTGGGGGGCCCCCCCCCCGCTCCACCTCTCGCTTTCTCCATGCAGCATGGAAATTCTCGTTCTTCTCTGAACGTCAAGACTTCACAGCTGGCTCAGCCTCAGTGGCACAGTCGGTAGTCTACTGGGCTTTAGAGCAGAAGCCACATGCTGCCTACTGTTCAAATCCCTGGCCCAGTCGGTTTGATCCCTGCAGCGTCCTGGTGAGCTAGAGGACTGGAGGAAGGGGACTGGAGGGTGGCTAGACCCTGAGGAGGGTATTTATCCCTCTCTCTCATGCATGCACACATCCTCTATCATGAACCATAAAGAATTTCCAAGAGGCCAGCCCCGTGGTGCAGCTCAATGCACTGCTCAAGGAAAACCAGATCCCACCCAGCAATCATGGTTCAAATCCCAAGCCCAGTTGGCCTGAAACACAAGGCATGCCCTCAAACCCCAAAATTCCATGGGCTGGAGGACTCAAGGAAGGGGACCATGACATGATCAGACCCTGTGGAAGGTGCTTGTATGTGCACACGCACACGTGTGTGTCTATGTGCACATCTATGCTCTATCATGAAGAAAGAGGGGAAGAGCCTTCATTGCTGCTGTTCCCTGCAGGGGATGTTCTCCTCATAGGCGCCCGCACACAGGACCCCCACTCCCACCTTGTCCATGCCTCTCCCTCTTCTAGAGTAGCTTTTCCCTGTTACCCATCCAATCGCTCCCCTTGCTCCCCTGGTTCTCTCTGGAGCAGGCATCAGCACGGAACTCATTCTGTGCTTGCTGTCTCTCCAGGTAACACGTGAGCTCTGTGAGATCAAGGACGAAGCACACAGCGGTGTCTGTTGAATGAATGAATGAGTGCAGATATGAATGAGTGCAGGAAGGAAGGGCAGTCCCAGTGAGTGAAGCCAAAGAATGGAGTGGGGGAGTAGAAGAGTCGGGCAGGAGGGACCCTTACTGTAGGGGATCCCTACAGAGGGGCTGTAGGGGTCCACCTGGAGGTGGAGGAGGAACTGCAGGAGTGTAGAGGGCTCTCCCACACACTGCAACAGGATCTAGGGGGAACAGAACCTGCCCTCATACCACTGGCCATGAAGAGGCCTCCAGGGCACTTCCAACGCTCATTCTGTTTGGGATCCTCAGAGACCCTGAGCCTCACACCAGGGACACATGAGCAAGTGTTGCCGCCTGTACACACTGGGTCTGATGCCACCTCCTCAGGGTGGTCTTCCCTAGCTTCCCTCCTTGCACCAGCAACTATCTCCCCCAGCCTGACCTCCACTTAGCACAGGGCAGGGCTTTCCCCACTTGCCCTCCCCATCCACCCCGCCCTGCTCTGTGCCCAAGGCCCAACTGCCCAGACTCCATCCGTGCACACTCTGCCTATGGCCTCCAGGTGGGCTTAGCCAGAGGAAGACAGGAAAGACCAGGGATAGGAGGTAAGGGAGGAGGACAGAGAGTCCACCTCTCAACTCCCTCTCTGGCCAGTCATAGAACTAAATAGCCACTGTGTCTCTCCACCCAGGGCCACTGCTCCAGCTGGGCCCCTATTTCACAGTGGCACTCTCCCTGGTTCCTTATCAGCCTCCTTCCTCCTCCTTCCTGGGCCCCTTCCACCTGCCCACAGCTCGGTAAACCATCCCTGCATTAAACTCTCTTCAGTCGCCCCCTTGAGTAAACTATGGGCTCTCAGCCAGGTGCCTGATGGGAACACCTTCTAACCTAAATGCAGCGTTGTTTGTTGGTGCCTATTGGTGTCGCCCACTCCACCCACTCAAATGCAAACTCCAAGGGTAAGAGATGGAGTCTCTGCTGTGCCCAGTGACCTGCAAGCAAGCACTCCACAGATATCTGCTGAATGAGCAGCTGTCACAGTTGACACGTGGGACCACACACAGCTGCATAGATCAGAAGGTGCTTCATCAGCCCCAGGGGCAGGAAACAGATCCTGGGCCCCAGCCTGGGCAGGAAGGGTGGAGAGTCACAAACACCCCACATGTGCTGACGGGACAAGGGCCTCACCACCCCCTCCCCAGGGACGCACCCTTCTTCCCTTCCCGGGAGGATGAATGGGTGAGTGGGTGCACAGAAGTGGCGAGGGCTCCCTCTAAGCCGGACTGCTTTTCTGCCACACTCAACCACAATATGAAAGGGCAGAGGGATCTTGGTGACAGCTTGCAAATGTGGCTGCATCCCAACTGGCCCCTGTCAGGAACTGAAAGTGCAACAGCTAGCACCCAAGCCTGGGTGTCCCCATGGCCTCCCACACCCTCTTCCTTCACTCAGTATGGAGCATAGCAGGTGAAAAATCATCTCTACAGGCACCCCAACAACAGAGTAACACCCCTGGGGCCCTGCAACAGACGGTCTCAGCTGAAGCCCCCACGTGGGCTCCAGTGCCCAGCCTTGCCCACCTCACCTTCCACAGTACCCCATCCCTCCACCTTCCCCTTCTTCCTTAAACACACTGGGTGTAGCTCTAACTAGCCTTCCACTACATCCCTCCCAGAATGCTCAAGAATGTGCCTCCTTGTGTTCAGAACCTTCTGAGAGGCCTCAGGGCACCAAGAATGGTGCCTACTAGCCCCCGGGCCCGACTGCTCAGGTCAAAACTTGATAAGGAAACATAAGCCCCCCTCTCCTTGAGCAACCAGCTGAGCTGCCCTGTGAAGAGAATCAACATTTCTCCACAGAGCTCAGCTGGAACCGAGCCCACCCTGCCCTGGGTTCTGGGCATGACAGGGCAGCCTGAGCCACCAGGTGGGTGACATGCTGCAGTCATCAATTACTACAGGACTCTCCAGAATCGAGGTTTATAGAGACATGCTGCTTGATTTCTCATGGCATAAACCAAATCCCAAGAGAGACTGTCGGGCCCAGAGCCAATGCGGGTGACTTTTCCCTGCAAATTCAGCAAAAGCAACCCTAATAAAACATCCTTAACTAGTATCTCATGGAACTTTCATTAGCTGGCACCCAGAATTTAAAAGGCAAAGCCATTAAGTTCCAGGCTCTCAAGGTACACTATGCGGCAGGCAGCCGAGGGCACGGGCAATGCCAGGGGACAAGAACAGGGCTGGTAGACCAACAGCTCTGTGGCCTTAAAGAGACCCACAGAGCAAGTCTCCAGTCCCCCAGGGCCAGCCATCCCCCAGCCACTACCAACGCTCAGTAAGTGACCTAGGACCCACGACCAAGAATAAGGCCAGCCCCCAAGGAGGGTGGAGCGCCACTGCCCCTGCAACCTGTCCCTGTCCCCACACAACCTGTGCTCCCATATCAGTCTGCAGCCACCCTCTCCTTTCTGCAGGGTTCCTATCTAAGGTCCACAGACCACTGGGGAGTCACAAAATAGGAGCGCTCTCTACTTGGATGGGAAAACAGCCTACCTTTATTTTCTCTACCCTCTCACTCACATTTACATTTGCATCAGTTATTAATTTAAGCAACTGAGCACTCAGTACCAGCTGTGCTCGTGAATGCCATCAGCAGATATTTTCACGGCACATTACTGCTGCTGCAGCAACTCAAAACATTCTTCTCCTGAGCCCTACTTCAAAATTAAGGTGGTATTAGACCTGCTGCTAGCTTTATCACTTAATGCATTAATAAGGAAGCAGAAATGGCGATATCACAAAGGTATTTAACGTTTTGATAGCTGTATATCTGTATCATTGTTTTTTTTATATCCCTTGTGTTTATTCTGTGCACTTAAAAACAGTATCCTGTGGCTCAGGCGCAGTGGCACAAGCAGAAGGGTCCACTACAGTGTGGCTGAAGCCACAGGGAAAGCCTGGGTTTGGTTCCTGGCCCAACCTAAACAAGCTGAGTGTGGTGGTGTGTGCCTAGGGAACTGGGAGGCTGAGACAGGAGGATCACAGCATGGTGAGAGCCTATCCCCCCCAAAAAATAAATAAATAAATCACTTAGGGGCCAGTAGATGGCATGATGGTTAAGGTACTAGACTCCCACATGGCTGATCATGGTTCAAGTCCCAGACCCAGCAGCTTGAAAATCACACTGGGCCTGCGTGTGTGTGCCCAAAATCCCAAGAGGAGAACAGAAGAGAAGGGGCTGCGGCATGTCCATCCCCCCACAGGGTGATTTCTCACTTTCCCTCCTGTGTCTCTCTACACCAAGTCCATGCACCTATGGCAAAAACCTAAAAAAGAAAAAAAATAAAAAATAAAAAACCTCTCCCTCTATTTCTCTCATTTATTTAGGTATGTAAAATTTCTTGCTGAGGGCTGGCCTGGTAAGGCAGCAGTAACATGCTGTTTGAGCCATGGCAGCTCTATATGGAACATTGAGGGTTTGGTGACCTGGCTGATCTGGACCTGGCCAGTGTGTGCACCCATTATCCTGGCTGGCAGGAGAGAGGGGGTAGGGAGATCACAGCAGGAGGCAGTTGAGGGCATCTGTCTCTTTCCCTCCCCCCTTTTCTCAAAGGAAATGAACTTTAAAAAAATTATGCTGACATAGTTTCACTGATGTCCAGAGGACCACGGCACAGACAAGGACAAGATCCCTGCACCAGAGTGTGAAGACACTTCTGCTCACTTCTGCAGGGCCCGCAGGGCCACCCGGGCCACCCTGCCTGGCATTCCCCACCCTGCCTCTTTCTCCTGAGGGTCGGGGGCCCAACCACATACAGGGACCAAGACAAGGTTGTGTGGAGTGAGGACAGGGCCTGAGAAGGAGCCAGAGAGGGCAAAGGGGAGCTTGGTTTTTAGTCTGCCTTCCAGACCCACCTTATCCTCTGCCCCAGGCCTGGCCCAAGCCCTCTGCTCTAGAAGCACAAGGTTCACATTAGGGTGGGGACAGATTTTGATCCAGAATGTGATTCCTCCAGATACTTTCTCTCCAGAAGAATGCTGATGCCAGCATAACCTCTGACCCTGCAGGTACACACCCAGGGCAGCTCGCCCGCTGCCTCTTGCTGGCTCTGCTCCCTGGGAGCTGCTTGGCTAAAGAATAAAAGATATTCCTTCACTCTGCTCCTCAGGACACTGTCTTCCCACCCATAGCTCCTTTCTTCAATCACTAAGTCTCTCAGGAAAGCAGGCCAGCATGTTGGACTAATTGGGGTGGGGGTGGGGGGCAAGTGTAGACATGAGCTGGGAGGTCTCAACTCTGCCCATGGAAAGTTCCAAGCTCAGCCAAGGAGAAGGCAGGGCTACCCACCACCAAGTGCCATGAGAGAGGGGCCTACTCCATGAGAGGGCAGGAGAGGATGGAGGGGATCCCTCAGAGGGCTGTGGGATCCTCTGTCTCCAAGCTGAAGTCCCTTCCCAGGCTGGCAGAACAAAAAGGATCAACTGTGAAACATCCCCCAGAGTAACATCTTGAAGTTCTAACTGCATATGAGATGCTAGTTTAGAGCTTCCACTGTTCCCCGAATCATATGGGACACACCCCAATCATCTGGAACTCTCGTGGGCCTCCTATATCCCAGGCTCTGGTAGGAGTCAAATGGCAACTAAGTCATGGCCCATGGCCCTCCTCAGCACATACGCAGGCCAGAGGCAGACAGATGGCAGAGTCTCGAGTCTATCTGCCCTGTGGTTTATACAGACCTACATGTAGGCCCAGGGCCTGTTCCTGGAATACAGTAGGTGCCCACTAAATGTTTGAATTTTATGTTTCAATGCCCCCAAGTTTGGGGACCGAGTTAGAATGCACTCCCTGTTATCATCCTCCCTACCTTCCTGCCCACAGTTCCCCCATTCTGATCTCAGTTCCTAACCTGGTATCTGGGGCACTGCCCCTCCTAGACTCCTACACCAAGAAACACACCTCCTCCCACTGAACTCACATACAGCCCAGGGGATTGAGCAATTTTTAAAAGGCAGATTAGTATCTTCCCTGGCTCAGGGCCAGCAGGTGGCTGGTTAAGGCACTGAATTTCCACATGGCCAACCGTGGTTTGAATCCTGGACCTGGTGGCTTGAAAATCACATGAGGCACATATGTGTGCATGCCGAAAGTCCCAAAAGAATGGAGGAGAATGGGCTGCAGTGTGGCCTTCCCCCCAGGGGGATGATTTTTTACTGTCCCTCTCACTGTCTCTATGGCAAAAACCTTTTAAAAAGAAAAAAAAAAATCTTTCCAGCCACTCAGGACAAAGTCTGGAGAAGCCACACCTCCTCTTCCTTGTCCCAATACATACACTCTGAACTCTCAACCTTTGTCCCTCAACCTTAACTGGGACATTCTCATCTTGAACATTCTCCCCAGCTTCAGTGAACCCATCTGTCAACACTTCCACTAGGACCATTCACCCTTCTTTCATTCTGCAAAATTACAAAGTACCTACTATGTGCAAGGCACTGGGCTCCTGTTCCTGAGGCCCAGTGTGA